TGGCGTACGAAATCACTGAGCTGCTGACGAGATTTCCACTTACTATCGCCGCTGAATGCCCAAATGATATTAATTAGCATGGCACGCAATAAATACGCTTCAATTTGATCATCCTGAAATAAACTTTTCTCGCTCTATTACAACTAGAATAAGCTAAACTCAACCAAAGCTTTTATTTAAAAATCTTTCCTCTTTCTTATTTTCCCTTCACCCCATTCACCCATCCCCTCTAATTCCACAACAACAGCGTTTCCCACCCTTTCCTCCTTTCTCTCCCTTTTTTATTAAGCACTGCAACCGTCATACTGACGAGGTCCTGTCACGGTGTTGAGTTAAGACGTATATGACTTCAATTGGCCGAAACGTCTTATCTCAGTCTTGCCTTCTTTTCTCATACTGTTCTTTCGTCCTATATTCCATTATACTTTCGCCACTTTTGTTTCCAGGGTCAACTTTGATGCTACAATTGGCTTATATTACCCAACGATTGCTCATAAATCTTTTTTTTTTTTCAAATTTCATTTCAAATGGCTCGCAAGAATACTGCATTTTTCGAGTTCGATTTTGCACCCAAACAATCAGAATCTCAAAAGCACGGGTATCTACTAGTACTGCGCAATTACGACAAATTACCGCCACAGCGAAATCCCGTTCACATCCCCACCAATTCCACAATAATTGTGCTTCCCTTCCCTTCCTCCCTTCTCTTCCTTTTTTATTAAGCACTTCGACCGTCATACTGATGAGGTCCCTGTCACGGTATTGAGTTAAGATGTATATGACTGAGTTAAGATGTATATGACTTAATATATGACTTAAGATGTATATGACTCAAAACGTCCTGTCCCACTCTTGCCTTCTTTTCTCATACTGTTCTTTCGCCCTATATTCCATTGTACTTTCGCCACTTTTGTTTCCAGAGTCAACCTGGATGGCTAACAATCAGCTTATATTACCCAACAACTGCTCATAAATCTCTCTTTTTTCCAAGTTTCATTTCGAATTTCACAAAAATCTCTTTGTGATTGCACAAATAACAAATTTTTTTAAGCGAGATCCCATGAATTTCATAAATCTCTTTCATTTTTCATAAATAACGAATTTTTAAAGCAAGATCCCACGAATTTCATAAATCTCTTTCATTTTTCATAAATAACAAATTTTTTTAAGCGAGATCCCACGAATTTCATAAATCTTTTTCAATTTTCGCAGATAACAAATTTTTCAGGTAAAAATCCCGTTAAATTTTGCTTTCAAACAATCTAAATCTCAAAAGCACGGGCATCTAACTAGTACTGCGCAATTACAACATGAAATATTACCGCCATAGCGAAATCTGGATGAGTGATCACTTCGTTGATCAGCACCCGGACAGCATAGTTCATCATTGAGAAGAACGAGGAGAGCATTCGTTGCTGCGTGGGCTCCATGATGTGATCCAGCTCCGTCAACGCATATTTCAGCGTCATTGGGACCAGTGCATCGGCGCTCATGTGCTGTGCCAAGCATTCCGCGCACATTCGCTGCACATTCATTATCCTTTCACCTTCCGGTGAACTTGCCACACCTTCGGACGAACCGATATTCAGCTGCTGCAGCAATTCAATTTTATACTGGTAAGTAAAAATTTTTTAAAAAAGTTTTTTTTTTTAAATTTCTTAATGATTTACTAAAGAGATCAAAAATTTGTCTACCAACAGTCAAAGAAAAGGACAATGCTGCCGAGCAAAACACGAAATAGCTTTTCCAGTCCAGTCAACTACTTATTTCTTCACAGAAATCAATACAGAGATGTAAGCTCCAAGTATTTTTGAGCCCAGTCAAGTACTTATTTCTTCACAGAAATCAATACAAAGATGCGAAATCTAATGCAAATACCCCTCTTCC